ATGGATTACATCTCAATGTAAAGAAAACAAAAATCCTCCGAACTGGACCAATAAACAACTTTCTTACCAACAGAGAAAAGATTGAAGTTGTCAAGGACTTCATTCTTCTTGGATCAACTATCAACACTCATGGCAGCAGCAGTCAAGAAATCAAACAACGTATAGTATTAGGCAAATCTGCTACACAAGACATTTTTAAAGTGTTGAAGAGCAAAGATGTCAGTTTAAGGATTAAAGTGCGTCTGACCCAAGCAAGGTATTTTCAATAATCTCATTGCATGAGAAAGCTAGACAGTGAATACGGAAGACCACAGAAGAACTGATGTATTTGAGTTATGGTGTTGGAGGAGGATATTGAAAGTGCCATGGGCTGTCAAAAAAGAATCAACAGATCTGTGTTGGAAGTACAGCCAAAGTGCTCCTTAGAAGCCAAGATGGCCAAACTTCATCTCTTCGTACTTCAGACATATTGTCAGGAGGAACCAGTCTCTGGAGAAGGATATCATGTTTGGTAAGGTGGAGGGTCAGAGAAAAAGAGGAAGACCCCCTACAAGATGGATTGGCCAAGTGCAACATCGATGGACTCAAGTGTGGCAACAAAAGTGAGATTGGCCCAGGATTGAGTAGTGTTTTGTTCTGCTGTGCATAGGGTCGCTATAAGTCAGTACTGACTCGATGGCACCTAACAACAACAACATGCTGCTTTTGTTGTGTGTAGTCAAATCTGTTGAATCTCATAGTGACCCTGCATAGGCTTTCCAAGAGGGATTGGTGAGTTTCAACTGCAGACCTTTAGGTTTGAAGTACTGTGCTTATCCTAAAGGGCCACATCAAGGTTCATTTGTTGTTGTTAAGTGCTGTCGAGTCAATTCTGACCCATAGTGACACTATATAGGGTTCCTGAGGAGCAGCTGGTGAGCTTGAACCGCCAACCTTGCAGTTCAAACAGCATTGCAGTCTGACGCGTTAAACCACAGCGCCACACCAGGACTCCATAAGGCACTATAATTATGTGTGTTTTGTGACCCCTTTCTTATAACATCAACTTGTTGGTGTTTCCATGACTCCCTATTCGAGTGATGTTTTGGTTTTTAACACTCTTTGATTTTCCTTTAAGAGAGTTAAGAGGCTTTTCTCTAAAACAAAAAAGCATGTTTTTATTTTATCAAGGTGTCATTCTTGAATGATCACAATTTTCTTTATAACTAAAAGTTTATGAAGCAATCAGAATTATAAACACTTCAGCCAAATTTTGGTTTTTGAAAATCAATACAAGCATGTTGTATGATGCTGGAGATCACATGACAGAATTCTGCAAAACCAATGATTTGTTCATTTCAAATACCTTCTTTAGACCGCATATAAGATGATTACACAAATGGACCTCACCAGATGGAATACACAGAAATCAAATTGACTACATCTGTGGATAGAAACGTGTGGGGAGTGCTTAACTCCTGTTGTTTGGCACAGTCGTAGCAGGGGAAGACACATTGTGCACAGCAAATGACTCTCAAAAAGCTGGTCCCTATCTTCCCTTCAAGTTAACTCTGAATTTACTTGTAAATATATAATATGGCCTTATTCACAGCCTTTCACCATGAGTTCTACAAACCTTAGGAAAAACTGGCTTAGCAGCAATTGCTTTCAGCTTCGGTGGATTGAATACAAAGAGAATTATATAAATTACTCCCTTTCATAGAGAACCTAAGTAATTGCATTTGTGAGACCACAAAAGCAGATAGCAAATTAAAGTCAAGCTGACCTACCCCTATAGACCTCACCACAATCAGTCACTAGCCAGAATTCACAAACCCCTACATACAAGCACCTGCATAAATAAGCAGCAAATAATGAACTTAAGTGAAGGATAGTTTTGACTTGACAATCTACACTTCCTGCAGCAATTAGCCAGGTGGGGCTTTATGCCACATAGCTTCCAAGCAATTTAATGAATACTTTAGAAAAATAAATAAGTTGATGTTAGTAATACTTTTATTATGAAAATAATATATACTATGTAGGATAGAAGATTGATAATTAGTTAGTCGAAATAATAAGGTCGTGCAAGCATTGATGATTAGTAGAAACTTATGTTACTTAGAAAATATAATCAGCAGTCTGATAAGTAGAAATGATTTGTGTAAAGTTTGACTTAATCTTTTAGTGGAAACAAGAAGAAACGGTTTATCACATACTGGGAAAAGAGATGAAAGTCAGTTTGAACATCACAGAAATATTTCTGTCAAAGTTGTCTAATGACCAGGTGCAAGAATGTTGTGATTAACTGTGTAATAATTCAAGAAAAGATCAAAGTGTCAATTCATTATGTACTATGTAGTTTTAAGTACAAAAATAAAGACTTGCTGAGCCGGGCGAGAACGACAACAGAGATAGCA